CTGAAATTGCCCCAAAACAAACCTGGCTCAAAAGAGGTTTCCTGGCTCCCTGTGCTTCCATCTCTGCTGTCCCTTCAGGGAGGAGCCGCCGGCTCTGCGCTCCCTGGCAGGTTTCTCCCGGGGTCGGGGCATGGGGTCCGGCCAGCACGTGCCAGTGGGATGAGAGCTGGGAAGGGGGTAAAACCACTGGGTGCCATGGGGGTCCCTCAGTGCCATCCTGCCACCTCACAGCCGTGCCTGGCTCTGCTCCGCAGAAAGCGCTGAAGGAGATGTTCCCCATTGAATCCGGGGACATCAATGTGGAGAACCGGATCATCCCACACTTGCCAGGTGAGGGGCAGGCGCCGGGTGCTGGGGGCCAAAAGAGAAATTGCAGCTAGTTGGGAAATTCCCCGTGGGCCGAGCTCTGCCGGCTGCCTCCCGCGCGGGTGCTTGGTGGGGTTTCTGTTCCTGCCCACCGGGTTTGAAATCAAAACACGAGAAAGGTCTGTCTGAGCAGCAGTGGTGGTTTCTCCCATCGCTCGCCAGCCCTGCAGACCCCGTCCTTCCTCCCCGGGGTTGTTGGCTGCAACCCCTGGCAGGTGCCAAGGGTCTGGCTTTGGGGAGCCTGAGCTGAGCTTAGCTGAGCTGAGCCCTCCTTCGGTGACGCCATCACCGGGATTGTTTTTTACTACCCTTATGGCAACACAGATATTTTGTAAGAGGAAGCAATGCAGTATGTCTTCAACGACAAGGAATGAACTCCTGATCCAAAGAACTGACAGTTTGTCCCCAGGCACGGTGCAGGCCAGCGAAATTCCCCCTTTTATTTAATTTCCTCCTTTAAAGCAGGCAGGAAGGAGCATGAGAAGTAGCTGTGGGTTGTGGTCGACACGTCTCAAGGAGGAATAAACCTGCACCACGCAGCAATGAGGGTGCCATGTCTGGGGAGGGGGGTGTCCCCTCGGGGCCGGACTAACACTACCGTGCCGGGACCCTTTGTCCGGCTGCTGCCGCTGCTGTGCCGGGGCTGCTTGGAGCGTCCTCGTCCCGTTTGGGGAACTGAAAGTGCTGGGGACAAGGCAGGCATCAGACTGCTGCCCCTGAGTCCCTCTGTGTGCCCTGGAGCAGTCGCTGCGTTTGTGGCCCAGCACCTGGGCTTAGTCTGAGCATGGACGTGGGAGGTTTTCCGTAACTGAAATGGGGTCAAACAGGGCCTTTTCTGGGCTTGCACGAGCTCTGCAGGAGTCCACAGGCTGCAGAGGATGAGTTTGGCTGCGCAGTGCTCTCCTCCACACTGCCCACGGCACCGGGGCTGGGTGCTGCGCCACGCTCCCCTCCCCAGCCGTACTGCCGAAATGAAGAACCTGCGGCTGCAGCGCATCTGCAAACCAGCCGTGGCCTCGCGCTCAGCTTCTCCCCGGCTTTTTTGGCACCGTACGTGGCCCCCCGCATGCCTGCCACGGGGGGGGTCGGAGCACCCAGGGAGGAGACTGGGCCACGCTCCCGCAGAGCTTTGCTTTACGGGCACCACGCAGCCGTGCAGCACCCTGGGGCCAAATCCATTCATTTTCAGGGCTAAATTAATGATTCAGAGCAGCCTGCTTGGAAATTTGTATAAACAGGGCACTCTGGCTGCTTTTTCCCTCTCCCCCAGCCCCAAAGTGGTTTGATGGGCAGCGCTCGACCCAGAACAGGCAGGGCACGCTGACTGAGTACTGCTACACGCTGGTCAACCTGCCCCACAAGATCTCCCGGTCCCTGCATGTGGTCAACTTCTTCAAGGTCCGTCCTGACGACATGAACCCCGTCACAGACAGCCAGTGAGTTAGGCCGCCTGCCGCTTCGGGGGGAAACCCTGTGTCCCCGGGTGCTGGCAGCAGCCCCAGGGAGGGCACCGCTGCCGGCGTGATGGGGGGTCAGCATTGAGCTGCCTTTCCTCTGACCCATCTAGGATCAAGAAGCCCGAGGTCTTCCTCCTGCCAAAGGATGCCAAGAAAAACCTCACCGGTAAGAGGCCTCGGAGGGGTGCAAGCGGCTGCCTCGGTGGCAGGAAAGCCTGACCGGGAGAGGGGTGGCCATCCCACAGCAGATGCGCTGACCGAGAGCATGGGAGGAAACCACAGCCTTGGGGGGAATGAGTCCCTGTCCTGGGATCCAGCTGGTTTGGGACCAGAAGAGGTTGGGAGAGCACTTTGGGCTGTCCTGGGGCTGCTTTTGGCCTTCCTGAAACAGGGTATTTCTGCGCCGGGGGCCGGGAGAGGGAACGTCTCTGACTTCTCCCCCACAGACATCACGGGCCCCATCGTCCTGCAAACCTACCGAGCCATCGCTGACTATGAGAAGAGCTCCACATCCGAGATGGCTCTAAAAGCTGGGGACATGGTGGACGTCGTGGAGAAGAGTGAGAGTGGTATGTGTCTGTTCCTCCGGAGAGCCCCCAAGGGCCAGCCCACTCCTGGCCACCATTTCAGCATTTTGCGTCTCGTGTCCAAGCGCAGCGTGCGAGTTAGTTACGCCGCTGCACGCGTTAAAGGGCAGGCTGTTGTATCAGGGTCTCCTGATGGAGAGGAGAAGCTCAGAGCGAACGCACCAAGCCTCTTGGCGCTTCCCACCCCTTCGGCACATGTTTCACATTCACAGAGCCACATGATGGTTGGTTTTGGCTGGGGAGGGCGTGGGGCAATCCTAGAAAACCCGGAACCCCCTCACATGGCTTCGCCTGTGAGATTTCCTGCCCTGGAAGAAACAGGATGAACTGGCCCAGCTCCCTGGCTGCACCATGTAAACAGAGACCGGCCCGGCCCCGTTCCTTCCCTCCGGGCCACGTGGGTGCCTGCACCTACCCCGGCCGGGGCCAGACCCAATGCCGGTGCCCCCGCGGTGCCCCCCAACACTCTCTGCTCTTGCCCACGGCTGCTTTTGTTACAGGTTGGTGGTTTTGCCAGTTGAAGAATAAACGGGGCTGGGTGCCAGCTGCCTATCTGGAGCCGATGGATGGTCCTGATGAGTCTGAAGAGCAGGAGCCCAACTATGAAGGTAAAACGTTGGGGTCCCCAGGGTGTGCACCAGAGCACAGCCTGCCGCTGCTCCCTGCTGGCACGGCTCGTTGCAAGGACCCCTTTGGGCAGTCCAGGCTGCAGCAGGACCGCTGGGCATGGAGATGTAGCTGTAGAAGCTGCCAGGAGGGATAAATCTCATCCTTCAGTGCCTTACTCAACCTCAGGAGTTTCCTGTGACCTGCAAATCAGCACTAGGTGCTTGTTCTGGCTGATCACAGTGGCCACCCTGAGCTGACGGGGCGCACACTGCGTTGCTGGGTTAGCAAAGGAGCACAGTGCAGCATCCGACCTGAGGTGCAGGCTTTCCCCAGCGCTTGGCTTCTGTGCCGTCCTTATCAGCCCTCCGCATCGCCCCACCGTGACAGCGGGGCCTTATCGCACGGAGCAAAGGGAGGATCCTGCAGACTCACGCTGATTGCTCTCCAGGCTTTGTCTTTGTGGTTTTTGAAACACTGCAACAGAGTCTATTAGCACAACGCTTCCTTCTTCCTCATTTAACCACCCGAATTATAAACCTGCTCTTCAGCAGAGATGGAGGACTTCCACTGCCTGCATTCACCAGCTTTCTCCTGGAGGGGTGCTGGAGGGGCTGGGGTGAGCCTCAGGCACCAACAAGGCTGGGCAAAGTCTGAATCCAAACTTTGAGACCTGAAGCAGCCTGGGTCTTGCCTAAAACACGGGGTAGATGCCCTGGTGCCTCCTCTCCTCAGCAGCTGGAGAGGATGAGCCCCAGCCCTGGGGTGGTAGCACCCAACCTGCTGTCCTGATTTTGTGTGCAGGTGAGCAGTACATCGTCCAGAAAAGCTACACAGCCGTGGAGGAGGATGAGCTGACCCTCAAGGAGGGTGATACCATCGAAGTTATCCACAAGCTCCTCGATGGCTGGTGGGTCATCAGGTGAGAGATGCCAGGGACAAATCAGGCAGGTGGGATTCGGGCACCGGGAAGGGATGGCCCAGCCACACAGCGGGGCTGTGAAAGCCACGGACCATTTGGTGCCGCTGCCCAGCACTTCCTTTTGCAGGGCTGCTCTAGTAGCCTGTGGCTTTGCCAAAGGCTCAACGTTGCAGCTGGGGCTTCCTCTGCTGGGGGCTTCAGAAATATCCAAGGAGGCAGATGGAAAAAAAATTTAAAAATCTATTATTTTGCCTCTAAGTGTTCTGGCACATTTTGCTTTGCGAAACCTCAGCTTTCACCCTCAGCCCTGGCCTGCCCTGCAAATTCGGCCTTTCCCGAGGGGAACCCCAGCTGCATTTGTGCTCTGGAGAGTCACAGAGCGTGCATGCGCGGCACAGAGTGTGCGTTTGCGGTGGGACATGACATAGCTGCAATCCCTGGGGATCCTCCTGCGCCAGCCTGTGCCTGGGCGAGTGGCACCGGGAGGATCTCCTGGAGTTTGCAGCAGGTTTGTGGGGCTGGAGGGGGCCATAGGCTGGGGACCAGGGAGCGTTTCTTGAGCACGTGGTGGGGTGTCTGGCAGGAGACCCTGAGCAATCCTTCAGGAGCTCAGCCAAACCCCCGGGCCAGATAGTATGAGCTGGTGAGACCCTGAAAGCTGTGAGCCATTGCTCTGTCCGTTACCTACTTGCTTTTACGACTCAAGCCACACTTTCAGGGAGAGCCACAGGTGCACAAGGTGGGGGGACACCTGAAGCCCCCATCCCTACAAGCAACATAAGAAGAAAGAGCCCACCCAGCTCCAGCAATCCTGCTGGGACAGGGGCGAGGAGGCGGAGGTCGCAGAACCAAGGCTGCAACTGATGCTGCTTTGTGTTGCACTGCAGGAAGGGTGAAACCACGGGTTACTACCCCTCCATGTACCTGCAGAAAGCCGGGAAGGTGAACACCTCCCTGAAGAATGAGCTGAGGAACCGGAGCGCTCCTCCACGGAGGTAGGAGAAGCCCCGGGCAGGAGGGAGGAGGACTAAAGCTTTTCTTCGAGGGGTGGGAAATGAAACCAGACAGTGGTTTGCAGTGTCCCGTGCTCATCCTGGCAACGAGGAACTTCCCAAGAGACGTGAGCAGGGCAAAGGCAGGCCAGGAGGCAGGTCCTGCAGGGCTGCAGCAAAAATAGCTCTGTGCTCCCTGACTTCCACGGGCGGAGAGGCACCCCAGCATTTCTGATGCAGGGCTTCACAGTCCTTGCTTTGGCATGTCCTCCAGCTGGGCGTATTTCTCCTTGTCCTTCTGCAAAGTTTCCTTCCTGGGATAATCTCATTCAATTTTCAAATTGGCCTTTTTTCTTATTTCCTAAGTGCATCCACTGAATCTTTGAGAAGCGAGGAGAGATTTGACTAATCAAAGCTGCCAAATGGCCTAATCTGATGGGAGGATTTGAGCTAATGGAAGGGATTTTATTTTGATTAAAAAAGATAAAAAGCAATAATAACTCATTAATTCCGATGCAAAGAAAACTGCTAGGAAGGGCTGAGCTTGCCACTATCTTTTCTTCCCTACAAGAAAACACAGCAGCCTTGCTATAAAATCTCTCAGAACTCATTAATTCCGATGCAAAGAAAACTGCTAAGAAGGGCTGAGCTTGCCACTATTTTTCTTCCCTACAAGAAAACACGGCAGCCTTGCTATAAAATCTCTCAGCATCCAGCTCTGCGAGAGCACAGATTGAGCGTGAGACAGTGTAAAACAGCTCAAATCCACCCATTTGTGCGCAGCGGTGCCTACTGATACCCTTGGGGGAGGTGAGGGGGCCTGTTTCAAGGACAGTGACTCGCCCCACCGTGGTGAATGCCGTCCCTAGGCTGAGCCTTGTTGCAAAGGTGGTGACCTGCCGTTGGGGCAAGAGCTTTGCTTTGAGATGGATACGTGCTCCAACCAGGGAGACGCTGAAGGCAGACGGGCACGGCAAGGGGCCATGGCCTTGAGCAGAGCAGGACCATGGGATGGATGTCAGGAGCCATGGCGGTCACGACCTGGTAGTGAAGACGAAGCGGGGGCCTCCGTCTGCCTGCCTGGAGATGGTCCTCGATGCTGGGGGTTCCCCTGTGGCAGCATGCCACCCCGCAGCCCCAGGCTGCTCAGCCTTTCACTTCTCCCAGTAGCTTCTCTGCTGTGGGTTCAATACCGCAGATCAAGGTGCACACTGACATGTCCCCCACACTCTTCACCCTGGCCCAGGGACTGATCCTTGGGTGTTGGGGAGCCATGCCAGACCCCACACCAGGGATCTCAGTCTTGCAGTCAGTAGAGATGCTGTATGTCCATCCAAACAAGAGCTGTAGATCACTTACTTCCAGCGCTTTCTTGAACTCTGTTCGATAAACCTCATGCCCACCTCATCCTTCCAGCCTTATGCCTCATCTACCTCGCCATCCCCATCATTACTTTCCAGACTTGTGCTCAGGCTTCGCCCTTCAGTATTTGGTTCCACAGCACTGCTCCAGCTGCCTCCTAACGTGCTGCACGTCATGTCTGAGGGCTGGCGTCCACCTGCTGCTGCTTCCACCTGGCAAAACCACAGAGTAGATATTGGGGTTTGGGTGAGGCAGAGGAGGAAGCGCAGGGTCTGGCTGCAGCAGGTCCGTGAGAGGCAGGGATGGGGAAATCCTCGGCAAGAAAGTGTGAGGCATGAGAGCTGCTGGCATGGAAACAGAAAGTTTAGTTTCTCGCTTGCTGCAGATCCACCATCCGAAACGTGAAGAGCATCCACAAGCAGAGCCGGAAGCAGATCAGCCAGGAGACCTACAGGAGGAACAGCAAGAAGTACATCCAGAGCCGGAGCAAGATGAAGGAAAATTTCCAGAACAAGGCCAATGTCATCAGTAAGTCTCAATGGGGCCTTTGCCCTGGATGTGGGCTGAAGCCCTGCAGGCATGGCCCGTGCCCTCCAGCACTGGTTGCTGGAGTAGGGCAGCACATGGAGTCACGCCTTGCCTCTCCACCCTTCTCCTGGGAGGAAGGCATGTGCAAGGTGGTGTTTCTTTTCAGTGAGGTTTCTTACCTCTGGTTATAAGTGTGACAGAGAAGGAGCAGAATATGGTGCTGGTGGGAGGTCAGCCCACATTTAGGACCTGTGCTTTCCTCTGTGCACCTAACCTCACCCGTGCTGCTGTTGCCATTACCATTATCATGTACATTAGCTGTCAGCAAAGCACCCAGAGGGAAGTGTTGCATGAAGGAAGAGGCTGCTATTGAGGTAGATGCTTTAGATCTGGTAATCCTC